AATAAAAAAAAAAAAAAATCTAAAGTTCCTTGAGTCTTGGGCCTTCTTGGGGATTTAGATACAGTACTGGGGTGGGGTCCTCTCCCACATCACCCTTGGAAATAAGGAAGGAGAAATCACCTCGGGCAAGCCCTACCCTTTCTTTTGGGGAGTAGGCTTTGAATTTGCTTGTTTGTGACTCAAATAGAGGAAGAAAGGCACCAAACTTCTGTTATGTGCTACTGCAGAGAACAGGTGGGATTTATTGAGCACTTACTGTGTCTCAGGTATTCTCCACCCGTGATCTCCTGTAAACACTGAGTTTCCCCCCCACCATAATCCCCGGAAAGCAGTCTCACCGTTATGCTGAGGGAGGGCCCAGAAAGGCCAAGGCACCTGACAGAAGTCACACAGTTTCGAAGAGGCAGAGAAAGATTTGAACTCTGATCCCAGATCTCCAAGTTACCATGAAAAGCCCTATGCTCACCACGTGACACTTCTTTCTCAGTGTCCTACGCGTGTGTGCATATGTGTTTGAGGTGGCCTCCCAAGATACCTGGGTTAGTCTTCTAGTGGAAGGCAGGAGGGTGCTCCAGCCCCATCCCTGGAATCTGTGCAATTTTCAGGAGTAGATTTACTTTTCCCCAGCACTGGGGATATAATCCAGGGCTTTCTTATGGAGCTACGTCCCCAGCCCTTTTTATTTTGAGACCTGGTCTCTTGAGTTGCCCAGGCTGGGCTCCAGTGTATGATCCTCCTGCCTCTGCCTCCCAAAGTGCTGGTCTCTGGGTGGTCCCTGGCAGCATGGGTGACCCGGGTGTAAAGAGGGATCTGTGTTCTTAGTGGCCAGGCTCTAGGCGCTGGGACAGGACGCTGAGGACTTGCTGGAACTTCTGGAGGCGGTCAGCTCTCGGTGCCCTGACTCCTTGACTTCCCCAGAGCAGCCTCTGTAGGAAGCCGGTGGTCAGAGCCTCCCTCAGCTGCGGATTGGGCCTGAAACCTGGAGAAAGGATCAGTGGGCTGGGGTGGTGTCCAGGCGCGCCTTGCCCTGGTCCTTTTCCTGGGGACTTTGACCCAGGAGAGGCCAAGAGGGACTGCTGCAGGACAATAGGGCGATTGGGTGGAACAGGATGAGGCTGCGGTGACAGAGGGCTTCTGGTGGCCTCAGTCTCATCAGGGCACGAGGGGGTGACCCATTCCAGGTGCGGGGTGCAGGGAGCCCCACCTCAGCGGCTGTGCTTGGAGGCAGGGTGTAAGGTCAGGGTGGCCCGGGAGACCAGCGTGGGGGAAGAGGGGCCACCTTAGAGACAGGGTGCAAAGGTCACTGAAGGGAAGGCAGGGCTGATCCCAGTGAGGGATGGGAGGCGAGGCGGGGCTGCCCCTGGACTGCAGGGACTGGCCTCAAGCACTGCTCGGGTTCCGAGCTCCCGAACTTAAGGACTGTGTCATTTGGGGGGACGCCGGGCATTCTTGGAGACCCGGATGCCGTCCCAGGTGCAAGTGGGGCCCGGTGGGTGCGGCTCTGACGGTCCACACCGCCCTTTTGGAATGAAAGGGTTTCCCTCCCTCCATACCGACTGGGGCACGAGCTTGAGGGGCAGCCCCCCGGGGGAGACTCCCCGATGGACCCAGGGAAGCTTAGCTGGAGGCTTCCGTCCCGGGACCCGGAGGCGGGGCGTCGCGGCAGGCGGGATCCT